GCCTCGATTTCCGTGAAGCCCGGCATCTAGGGCTGTCTGTGGTAGCTTCCCCTCACAGTTCACAGAAATGCTGGCAGCCGGAAATCAGGTCTCAGTGCCACCTCCCACCGTGGGATCCACCACACAGTCGCAAGGAGAAAACTCCTGCCGCTTCCACTCCAGCTTGGGCAGAGACGGCCGGGTGAGGCAGGGGAGGCTGGGAGAGACTATTTCAGCCTTCCTTCAACCTGGACGGTTGGGCTCCCGTTGATCTCCATTCCAGTCTCCATGACTGCGGAGGACCCACGGACCCCCCCCCCCCGTCTTTCTACACAGCTCTCTGAAGTCCATGACACAGCTGCCGAGAAGAGAACACCCCCAGGTACCGGACACAGGTGCCTGCCGCAAGGCCAGCTCTCAGCCCTGCTTCCCAACCGACACACTGCCACTTTTGTTCTGTAAAAACTCAGCACCATTCTTCTCCAGGAAAGGATCTTTGAAGCTATTTCACCACAAGTATGGATACCACGCTTAATATTTAACGACAGAGAAGAGACTCTCAAGATTATTAAAAATTAAACCAAATATGCTATATATGATTCACTGAGAGCTGTCATATTATGTCGCATCCGTCGTGAGTTTAGTTCATTCTTAAATTGTTTGAAAGAATTTTTAAGAGATCAAACATGAAGAACTTGCTTTAAAGTTATTTGTTGATTTCACTTAATTCATGAATGTGTTAAAATTTATGTCAGTATACATCGGTATGAACATTTAATTGATCGTTCTCAGCCGATCTCACATTTGAAGGCCTTACTGAACCATGATGTGTTGTAATCTGAGAATTCAAGGAATTTGTGGTTTCTGTGCCAAATTTTCCACTATTCCTCACACTTGAGGGTTTGGGTGTGGTGTGCGTGAAGCCTAAAATCATGTGTTGGAAGTTAGTCACACTCTTAGGTACTAGGAGGGTGCAGGAATCTGACTGTGGCGTTTAGAAGTGGCCCATTGGGGGTGGATCAGGAGTAGATAATGCCATCATGGTGGATGCTCAGTGATACCCACTGAATGCTAGTGGGTTTTACAAAACCTAGAGAATAGACATACATATTGACACACACACACACACGCTCCTCCTCTACCACACAATGCCCTGCACCATCTCCACACCCTGACAGCAAGGCCGCCACCACGTGGCCCCTTGACAGTGGACCTCACTAATCAGAGCTCAGTCAGTCCATTTTTTAAAATTAAGTAGCCTGCTTCAGTGTTTTCGTGACGGTAATACAGGCTAATTTCAATTACATGTAGCGCGTCATCTTACCTCTGAGATATGCTCCTGCTTTAACATGCCCACATGGCTCTATTTCCCACGCTTGAAATTCTACCTTACACATCTACAAGCCTCTTTGTATGTTGTCTTTATAAAACCATTCTTTACTGGCCCAAATTTATGATGACATTTTATTTCTATATATCTCCTGTCACTTTTATCTGTTCTATCTTACATTACTTCTTCATTGAGGTTTTTAATGTTTTAGTTTAGGAAATAAAAATATCTTTTTTATTTTTATATTTCATGAAGCACTTTGAGACTTATAGGGAAATCAATAAATACTGAATTTCAAGATAAGCAGAGGATATTTGCAATTCAAAATGATTTTTGTTTTTGTGGGTCGTGGGGCTTGAACTCTGGGCCTGGGCACTGTTCCTCAGCCCTTCAGCTCAAGGCCAGCGCTCTACCGCTTGAGCCACAGTGCCACTTTCAGTTTTCTAGTGGTTAATTGGAGATAAGAGTCTCACAGACTTTCCTGCCTGGGCTGGCTTTGAAATGCAATCTTCAGATCTCAGCCTCCTGAGTAGCTAGGATTACAGGTGTGAGCCACTGGCACCCGGCAAATGATTTTAAATAAGTATGAATAATGCTCTTATTTAAAATATAAATTCTTGAAGAGATTTGAGAGCATTGAGTGTTACATAGCAAGTGTGAAACCACACAGCATAAATTTCTGAATTCCTACAAAAAGGATTAGAGTAGTTGTCTCCCAGGATTTTGGTCATCTCTACTAAGCTAATTCTGTTTGCCATCTTTGTTTACTAGTCCTGTGCACCTGGGAGGTGGGTGGTCTCTGAGTCAGAGCTGGGAACGTGAGCCCACCAGAGAATTGCATGCTTTGGGGGCAGGGTTAGGATGAAGGCCACCTAGTAGCGCTCTACCTGCCGTAGAAGCAAATAAGAGATCCAAAAGCTACTAGAAACAGATTTTCTCTACAACACTTCTCTAGTGCTGGCGTAGTGTGACACTATGCACTGACAAAGGAAACGCTCACAGGCTGCAGCTCCAGTACCGATCAGCAGACAGTGGCGGGCGAAGCACACACAGTGACTCAGTTAACATCAGTTTAGGAGAAGGCGCCTCCTACGGCTTAGGAGGTAGACGTTTCCAACCACATGACCGACCAGGAGGTAAACTCGTTCAAACACCAGAATACCAACCAGTGAACCGTAATTTCAATATATAAAATTTTAGCACAGTAGATGATTTCACTTGCTCCATAATTATGCACACGGGGAACACACTTTACCTCTCCGTATCTGCTCCAGTTTTCATTGTTTAAATAATTGCTGGGGGCCTCTGTGGCTCATCCCTGTAATCCTAGCTGCCTAGGGGCTGAGATCTGAGGATCACAGTTCAAAGCCAGCCCAGACAGGAAAGTACATTAGACTCTCATCTCTAATTAACCACCAAAAACCCACAAATGGTGTTGTGGCTCAAAGGGCTAGCGCCTTGAGTTCAATGGCTCAAGGGACAGCACCCAGGCTCAGAGTTCAAGCCCCAGGACTGCACATGTGCACGTGTACACGCATGTGTGCGCTCATGCACACACACACACACACACACACAGAGACAATGCTGTGAAGTACTTATTGGGGGGGAAAGACAGTTTGTGAATTAAAGGCATTTAAGGGGCTCTGTATATACAATGAACCTCTGACTCCAGAATGAAGATCTGTTCTCCACCATTACTATACTAGGTTTGACCATTGGCTTAAGAACTTTTTCCTGTTATACAGTAGAAAGCATGTTAGACAGCACCCTAAAGGGTTCGTAGCATGGTTTTAGAGCTACCGTGGGAAGGGGAATCTGTTGTGTGCCCCTCCCCTCTTGAGGATACAGTTGCGCTGCATGTTGAATGATCGTCTATGAGTACTTAGCACTCTGCCCGGAGCATAACAAGTGCTCAATAAAAATTCACTACTGTTTTTTTCCTACCACTTGCTTATGAATGGCTGTCAGCACCTGACTGATCTATATCAAGAAGAAACAGCTGACTTCTCCTGTGCTCCCTCTTCTCCACAGTGGGAGCAGGGAGACACATCCAAGCTGAACTCTCTCGCCCTTTACAATTCTGGGACCATGTAGCTTGTTCTTTCAAAATGGTATCAAACATATTTTTGTACCTATCTCTCACCTTATGAGATGATCATGCCCAATGTATCAATCACACACAAGGTTTTAATCTATCAACATGAAATAAGTTATGTATGTTTACTTCTTCCTCTAATGTGTAAAAAAAAATCCCTTGGCCTTCTGATTTCGTTAAGTTTCAGGCTTCAGTCAGGCGTGGGAACAGTAAAGCAGACCTCCATATGAAGTCACTTTAAGGAATAGGCCTGTACTGAAAATGTGCAGTGGAGCAGACAGAAGGAAGAACATTTTTTTCCCCGCCAGCCTTAATAATTCAGGTACCAGTAGTTCAATTCATAATCATAGTAAAGGAATATTTGTAGGTTGCACTATTAAGGTAGAAACAGACTATTAAGAGTTAAACCCTACTTGTGTCCTCCTGTGTTTAAAATACTCCTCCCAGGAATGTCTCAATGAGGCCTCCTCTCAGAGAGCACCGTGCACGTTAACGGGAAGCAGTGTCACAACTCATTTGCATCCCACTTAAAGTGTAATTAAGTCTCCCTGACAGCATGGCTTATGGCTGGAAGAACAGACGTGGATGCTAAATTAATCCAGAGTCCCTGAGTTAATAACACCAGCAAAGAAAACTTTACACGCTGTTTCAGTTAAAGTTTCCAAAGTCCCATCTATGGCACAAGACAAGGAAGCCCTATGAAGAAACCGCGGTTTGGAGCCCAGTCACTAAAGCTCTGAGAGCTGGACTCTGATGAACCAAAACGTAAGAAAATGACATTTTCACTCCATTTAGGAGGTCTGCTGGTCTGCAGGGGGAGACGTGTAATTTTCATTGCTCCATGTGTTTTAACCAGAGTATGTTTTCAAACTTAAATCTGAAGTATTGGTAGCGTTAGGACTTACAGAAGAACTAGCTTTCATGGCACATGCTCATAAACAATGCATCCTGCATTCCTTCTCCCAGGACCAGAACCCTGTGTCCTCATGTTTAGTTGTAATTTAATAAAGTTGTGTGAGGCCAGGCACGGTGGTACACATCCATAATCCCAGCCATGTGCGAGGCAGTGATCAGGAGGATTGCTGTTTGAAGCCAACCCAGGCTAAAAGTTGGTGAAACCCAATCTCAACAAACACACTGGATGTGGCCGTTCACACCTGCAATGCAGTCATGCAGGGGCATAAATAGGAGAATACTGGTGAGAAGTTGCCCCTGGGCCAAAATGTGAGGTCCTCTCTGAAAAATACTTAAGGCAAAAGAGAGCTGGGACTGTGTCTCAAGCAACAGAGTGCCTCATAAGCACCTGCGTTCAAAAACCCAAACGAGAATAAACTGCCCATTACTTCATGCGCGTGCATGTTTGGTGTGGTCGTTGTTTATTAGTTTTGCTGAGCAATACTGCTTTGTTTCAGTACCCACGCCGGCAATGATATTGCTGAAAGAGTGCGACTATGTGCACAGTTTTGACTATCCCAAGATTTCATCTATAATCACCTGAGCCGAGAAGAGCAAACCTCTCACAGCGGGGATGGGTGCCCCTCTCTGCCAGGTGACTGGAACCTTTGTGCAGCAGCAGCAGCTTCGTGGGGCTGTTGTCTGGACTGTGTTCTTGTTCCTCTTCCTGTCATCCTGATTCAGATTCCAAGGCCATCTGTACCTGAAGACGGCCAGGCAGAGCACTGGGGTCACTACAGACAAAGGCCTTCCTGGGAGAGGAGCGTCCTGGTGGCTGTCCGGGCCCAACGCACCAGGAGGCCCTGCACCCTCCCCACGCCCAACCTGGCCATCCTGGTGGAGTCACCCCACTCCTTACAGCAAAACTGCCTAAAATTACCCTGACAGATGGCCTGCGTGCTCTGCCTGACAAGAAAGGAATTGGGTAACTCACACCATCACGTCAAGCCGTATCTGCATACACCCAGCTGGTCCAAGGGCAAAGTCTGGGCACCCCTTAACCCAGGTCAGGTCTCAGCACTGCACGATACATCACCGGCACTTCATAGAAAGCACAATGGCAGGAAACAGGACTCTAGCTTGAACGGCAAGTTTATGGGGAAAGGCACCCTAACAACTATTTTATAAGATGAAGCAGCATGTATTAAAACATGAAGCCATATGCAGGTACAGGGTTGTTTTTGTTTGGAGGTGGGTTTTTTTCTTCCTATCATCTACAGTATAAAGAACATTTAATCCAGCCGTCCAACAGGATGAAGTCATCTACAGTATAAAGAACATTTAATCCAGCCATCCAACAGGACGAAGTCATCTATGGTATAAAGAACATTTAATCCAGCCGTCCAAGGACAAAGTCATCTGCGGTATAAAGAACATTTAATCCAGCCGTCCAAGGACGAAGTGTGGCAGCGCGCGGAGGTCTGTGTCAGAGCTGCTCTTCCTGCGGGATCGTGCATGTTGGCAGAAGCAGAAGGAGTGGAAAAGCTCCCTCTGTACCTGGGCCAGCTGCCCCCAGACTCCGTCAGCTGACCTTTTCACACCATCCCAGATCGTTCCCGCGAGTCCCCAACTACTACAAATGCTCCTCAGCTACCCCGAGCACTCCTCCAACCCTCTGGTAAGACGGCTGTCCCGGGGGTAGGACGTCCTCAAGTCTTGGACCTGCAGCCCTGCTGCGCCTCGCCTCAGGGTGAGCGGAAGGGTGACCGCAGGGAGCTTCACCTCCACCAGGCTGGAGCTGATCAGACCTCAGGATGTTGAAGTTGAAAGGCGCAAGAACCTCAGTCAAACACGCTAGGTATTCAGCTTGCTGTGCACACCCCCCCCCCACACACACACACCGATGCATGACTATGCCTAGTTTATACTTTGATAATTTCATATACACATGTAACTTCAACTTTTCAGTGTTAAAAATGATGCATTTTTAAAGTAGCTTACCCCAAAATGTATGCTATCTGAAATCAGCAGGTATCAAACCAAGTACTCATAAATATAACATATAAAAGATACTTGTGAAAGGCATACCATACAGTCTTTGGTTGGAGTTCTGGAATATTCAAAAAGTGCTATAAACATAGAAAGGTTAATTGGCATATGTGATTTTACATTTTGAAAAACCCAAACAGTCTTCAATTGTCTCTTGGCATCTTCATTCCTGTTAATTTATGTTGGTTATAGTAATATACGCAGAAAATCTTTTAGAATTATTTGGTGAAAAACTCACTTATTTGTGAATAGGTAGGCCCATCCTCACTTCCAGCAACAGGATGGAATGAAGGTCTTTCTTGGAAATTAAAAGTACTAAAAGTGTCAGAGCCCTTAATTCTTTCTCACAAGCATTAAAAGGCAAAAGTAAATGTGTAATAAAATTACCACACATATGCAGAAATCAGGCCTTTATCTTCAGTTTCTTTATGTGGTATTGAATGAAGGGCTTCAAAGTTCTTCCCATGTGCATTGCCTGTGAATTTACTTTGTCACAGTCAAGTGGAAAACATACTCAAATACTCCAACATTCCATTCTACTGGCTGCACGTAAGGTTTCTCCACTGTGAGCTCCACTGAGAAACAACAACAACTATAATTACATGAGCAGGTTTGGTGCCATGCGCAAACCAAACCACAGTTTAAGGTTAGAAGGCATACAATTGCCTTTGGAAGGCAAGGTTGATGGTAACGTTTCCAACACTGGCAGTACCTTAAGAACGCCCCCAAGAAGTCATTCCATAAACTACAGTATTCTGGCTGGGCATAAGACAAATAAAATGTTAGCTTCTGTTTGTCAGAGAATGGATCTCAAGGGGTCACAACGGCACTCTGAGCCGGCCATTCTTCCCACCTATGAAGAAGGAAGCACCTGCAAGGCTTTGCTTGCTCATCCGTTGGAGCTCTGCTGTGGCTCACTCTTCAGCCAGGTTCTGGAGACTGCCAGCGACGCCTGTCCTTGCTTGGGTTTATGATCTCGCTTCTTTTCACCCTTTCAGAAGTTATTCACATTTACTATGCTGGTTCCTTCACCCATTCGTGCAGTTATTTTTCTATCTTATCGAAGTATTACAATCTTTTGGTAGTTTCTGGTGATGTCAAGGTCCACCTCTCTGAAGACGTTCATATTTGCAATTGTATGTAGGAGTAAGGTGTAAGAGGACGTGACCTAGGGACCACGTACACCCCAAACACGGAGAATGGACTCCTTTGTTATTCAGATGCTCTCGCCATCAGGTTTCATCCCTTGTTCCCAATGCGGACCTCATCATCTGTAATGAAGAAATGCAATCTCAGCTGAATGCAGCCAGAATCACTGACAGTCCCAGCCCAAAGTTACCCGTTTGGAAAATGGTTGTGATCAAGAGCCAAATTACCTTTTCTGCTCTTCTGACTCTACTCCCTCAGAGATCAAGACAATTTAATTTTAAAAACTGCTCAGGGAACTTCTGTAACAATGTTGTCTACAGGTCAATTTACAACTTCTCTGAAGAGCCTTGCAAGCTAAAAACTGTCTCTCATAAATACAACCTACTGAAATACAAAATAGAGTTAAAATGCTATTTTACATTTGTAGAATAATATATATATATATGTATCATAATTTTATCTAGTGAGGTTCTGAAGTTTGCTCTAGATTACCTGCAAAAAGCTACCAAAAGTGATCTCCATTTTAGAACCTTTCTTAAGAAAGTGAACTTTTAAAAGAAGACGCTCCCACTAGAACTCACTGGCACAGGCAAAGACTTCCTGAGTAGAATTACATGTCTGAGGAGGATTAAAAACAAGAATATAAAAGGAGCTTAAAAAACTAAAAGTACTAAGAGTCAGTATCCCAATCAATAAATGGACAAAGGAGCTAAAAAGATACTTCCCAAAAGTACATATGTACAACAAATACATCAAGAAATGTTCAACATCAATTGTTACAAAAGAAATGCAAGTTAAAACAATGTTGAGGGTCCATCTGACTCCAGGCAGAATGGCCATATCATCAAGAGGGCCTCCATTAACATGTGAAGTTATCAGCACCGTGACCAACGTCAATGACCCAGTTACCTCCAACACTCGTGCCCGGTCCCAGACTTCATGCGGAAGGGCAATGCGCGCTCCTCTGCCATTCCCCTTCCACAGACTCCAGGGTAGTAGCATGGGTTTGTGTTCTTCTCCGACCTGCTTCATTTTTTATGTTTGTCCTAAAAAGGAGAAGCAGAGGTATCTACAATATAAAGAAAACACATGTTCAAAACAACTGGAGAAATTTTATTTTTAAGGAATTCATTAACTATTAACTAAATTAAACATCTTCCAAAGAGGAAAACCTCTCACCACAGTCGAAGTGGCGCGAGCCCTAACACCACTGATTATTCAGCTTCATATTCTCTGCCCCTCTCACGGAGCAGGTTCCTTAGGGGCACTCGGCAAATGCTCACGAATGAATGAGGGAGGGAATGCCTTTTCATAACGAGTTTGGATTATTAGTCAAACGCATTTGAACCCTAGTGGTATGCCACTTAAAGCAGCAATTTGCTTCCCACTCAGGAGCTCACATCTTTTCTACTGTAAGACAAAGCAGTGACCGACATGTTGGTGATATGTCAAGACAGCACAATTCTGCGAGGTCAAGTCATTTTAGCGAATCATCTGTTTGCCCCTTACGTTGATTCAGCAACCTCAATGCTGGGCACGGGATTTGAATGTAGTTGATGTCCACAATTTACCCACAGTCCTTCGTTTTCTCCTCCTTTCACAAAGTGGGAATTCAAATGGTAAAAAGCACTGTAAAAGTAACAGTTCCAAATTTGTGTCAATGGCAGTGTGAGTGTCCTCCACTGAGGACAGTGGCTCTCTGAACAAGTTTATTCAGGGCCCAATGACTGCAGAAGAAAAGGCCAGGCGAAGGTGCCGGGCAGGTCTGAGGCCTGGGGGCAGGCCACTGTGTGGGCAGGACTCCACCTCAGCTCTCTGCTCTGTGGTTCCAACCTGCGACTCCGGCCCGCAGAGGCCCTGAGAGGGATTTCCTGCTGGCACAGATGTCTCACACACAAGGCTAATCCTTATTTGAGGCACAGTCACTTGAATTCCTCTCTGTATTCTTCAATGTCAGGCTTTGCAGGTTTATTTATTCTTGGTGGAACACACTTACTATTGTAGTTGTGACACTTTTCACACTAAGCTCCTCTTCTCGGGGCCTTAGAGGAAAAAGAGGTCTTCAGCTGGAAATTGCTTATGCTTGTTGACAGTTTGGAAATGACTTATTTTAGACAAGAACAGAGGTGAGAGTAAAGAAAGAAAGATCACTTCAAGACCTTGATTGCCACAGGTTTATTTTAGCTTCTTACCATCTTAATTTCAGGAATCAACTTCTACCTTTACTTAAGAAGTAATACCAAAATATTTAATAGTATCAAGGGCAGAAAAGACAAATAGGCTAAAAATGTCCTTTGACTGAAGGAAATTTAATTTTTTATTTCCCATACTAATACAGTACAATGGATTACTGTAGTACCAGACAACAAACATGTGCTTCAACCTTTTCTCACACACCTGTACTTTATTCATAACCAGGCCTCTCCATCTATACGCTGACAGTCACTTTCCTTTCAGATGCTCTGAACATTGGTTTCCTTGGAAGGGTTCAAAATAATAAAGTTGTCACTTTTCAAACCCTCTAACTTAACATCCTGACATTTTAATCCATGGCTTTCCACATCTTTTCTATCTGAAAATTATTGCATACACACTTAGGACTAAATTATATAATGGCTACTGAAACTTACTCAACAGTATTTCAAAATGCATCAAAATGTACTCTGGGGCTGATTTTGCAACACAGAAATGAAATATTTTAGCTAGTTCCTTTAGAGAATAGCGAGATTCAAAGCAATCTATTGCTTTTGCCATTCCTTTTTCTAGCAAAGGAAATTCTTCAAGACAAACGATTGCCAATTCTGAGCACATCTAGGACGAGAAAGAGAACAGTGAACAGATTTGCCTACTCCAGACTTCCACGTGTGAAGTCTCCAGTGCCACCTATTAGGCTACAGTAGCCTGTCCAAAGGCAGAAAGTAGACAAAACTACTAAGAAAACGTCTTAAGGATAACAGGCTGTTTGTGAATATTAGGCCTCCTATACTCATTTCTAACTCCTTATCCTAAACTTGGAAACCCTACAATGAACAAAACCCATGGAAACAGTCAATGGACATTCAGATAATAATTCTTCAAAGATAACTTTATATACAGAAACAGAAATAAGGGGACTACATAAAAATATAAAGTTGTATGTTGTATATGTAACACTTATTCTCTGAGCCCTAGAACTTCTGCCTCAGATATATAATTACGAATATGAAATTAACATAAATAATACTTTTTCCTAAGAAATTTTGACTCAGGATATAACTAAGGGTAAGCCATTATAAAATTTGAATTGTCATTCTTCCCTTTAGGGTGGGCCAAAAAGTAAAATGTAAGCTGAGCTGGGTTACAGGCCTTCCACTTGTACCCCAGCTGCTTAGTGGGTGGAGAACTACAGAATCATGGTTTGAAGCCAACAAAGGCAGAAAAGTTCATGAGAGTCTATCTCTAGTTAGCCATCAGAAAGGCATGCTTGAGGCATGGCTCAAATAGTAGAGCATCAATTCTGAGCCAACAAGGCAAGTGAGTGCAAGACCCTTACGTCCACATCCCCGTATTAGAGAAAAAAGCAAGCTGAACGTCAGTATCTCTGTCTGAAAATTTCTAAAGTCGCGCCCTGTCTGAACAGAGCCTAGCCCCTCGTTGGAGCAGTGCTCTGACCCCAATCTCACATCCCTGTATTAGAGAAAAAGCAAGCTGAACGTCAGTATCTCTGTCTGGAAATTTCTAAAGCCGCGCCCTGTCTGAACAGAGCCTAGCCCCTCGTTGGAGCAGTGCTCTGTCTGACCCCAATCTCACGTGTCCTAGCTGTCCGGAGACACCCGCAGACACAAACCAAGGTAAGGAACAGCAGATCCTTTTCTTTCCTCTATATTCTGAAAGTCACATTGAAATCTCTAAGTATCAGAGAAAAACCCAAGTGACGCACTTCCTAGTCTCAAAAACTACTATACTCATTTGGAAAATCTGTTGTCAACACAAAAGTATGACTGGTCATAAATTCCTCAATGCATGCAATTTACCTTAATCAGAATTTATTTATACTTTGTATGGAGCATGGTAGAAACTTCAGCAGGCACATTGCTCACAACACAAAGTCTCAGCCTCTGTGTGTATATGTGTGTTTGTTTAAAAAAGCATAATGTAAAATGCTGAGCTAGATGTTAGCCAGAGTTCAAAATAACGTAAGCCTGAACCATTCAGAATTTACAAATAAATGAAAATAGCAAGGTCAGCAGTGTCTTTCTTCCTCGCTGTGACTAAGCCTTTGAAATCAGCTCAAGAAATGTATGCAGGTGTTTTTCTTGATTAATTTAATAGAGGTACATCCATTGAATCAATTTACAAGTGATTTGCAGGCAGGCTGGCATTACTGAAATAAACGGTGCTATTACTATGATTTATGCTCCTCTTCCTAACACAAATGATAAAGTGAAATTTACAGTCCTTAATTACCACTACGAAAAACTGGGAGGGAGAGAAAAGAGCAGAGATTGGCAATTTGCAAACGTCAGTAAAACAAGATGCAAAAATCTATTTTCTTTTATTTTTGAGAAAAGATACTGTATAAGTGGGCCTTACCATGTGTCATGAATTCAGTGAGAGGGAAGGGAGTCCAAACCCAAAGGACCAGAATTTAACCTTGAGACATCAGATGGCAAAGCTCAAGAACGCAGCAAAAGATGTTGCCTGTGGTTACAAAAAGCAGGGAGGTGAGGAAACTCAGCATTCCCCAACACAACAATTTGTTCTTCAAATCCCGTCCTTCTTAAAATATGTTTAAATGTGTTATAAAGTGGAGGAAACAAATGATAGAAATCTTATAGGTAATCTTTTACGCATACATTTCCTCTGTCCCAATCACATCCACGTAGTATGTGAGGCCGGTTAAGATATTCAAAGCCGTCTGTAGAGACCTTATTCCGATGGAATGCTCACAGAGCCGTAGAAAGGAGAGCTTACTCTGAGATGTACTCAACTAGCGCAGTTTTCTCAACACTGAGGACAATGCCAGTGCCCTGTCGGCCGGCCCATAAACCATTCCTCTCCTTACTTCCTACTGTATTACCAGTTTTCTATCATTGTTATGCGATATGAATGAATCTACATAAAAAGAAGGGAAGGTTTCATTAGACGGATGGTTTCAGGCATTTAAGTTCTTGGTCAGTTAAATCCTGTGGCAAGGAAGGACATCAGGGAGGTAGAGCAAATGTTGGAGCAAAGCCGTTCTACCTCAGGAGGCAGAGGGCTGGGTTTCCACTGCGGCCTTCCAGGGAGCACGCTCAGAGACCGCTTCCTCCCACCAGGCCCAGCTACTAGCTGTTCCAGCCGCTTCCCAACAGTGCTGTGTGCTGGGACAAGAATCTGAGCATGCGGTTTGGAAACACATCCAAGCCACACACTACTTCAATGTGTTTTATTCCCCACACCTATTCTCTTGTACAACTTCTCTACAATCAGAGAATGCTTACCGTCCTGGTGTCAGTCTAACAGTTCCACAAAGTGTGCAATCACACTGCTTCACAGACTGCGCATAGCAAAACTCCAAACAGTTATAAATCATGAACGGTGAAACCACAGGCAAGACAGCTGGAAGAATCCAAGATAACAAGAGTCTAATCTGCTTGATTTAAAGTGGATAGTGCAATGTAGAGACAGGCAAGTCACCGCCTTGAACTGAGAATGGCTTTGTTTCAGACATGTTAAATTTGAGTTGCTGGCAGGACACTCAACAATGATGTTTATTGGAAAGCCAATAAACATTATTAAGAATGCAGAAAACTAAAGTTCCGGAGAGAAGATAGCCCAGAGATGTGGACTTGGTAAAACATGAATCGACTAAATAAAAGTCAGCAACACAGATAAGAATGAATATTGTAAGAAATGAATATTGTAAGGAAATGAATGAATGAATATTGTAAGGAAATGAATATTGTAAGAAAATAAACCCAGAAATGTTAGAAATGAAAAACTAAATAAGTCAAATGAAAACCATACAACATAATCATCAGAATACAAGATCAAGCAGAAAAAAATATTAGGAGCAGAGGACAATAT